TATATATATATATGACATATGACACATGACATAAATATATATAATGCCATACATATGGCATATATGATATACATGATATATATAATCATAATATACATATCATATATGATATATATGATATATGATATATATAATACATATATTATATAATACATGTAATATATAATACATATAATATATAATATATATGTGTATATATACGTACATATATGCACGTGTCTGTACATGTATGCATACGTATGTACATATATATACACATACGTACATATATATGACTACAAGTGACTACAGTACGTCTTCCTATATATATATAGATATATATATATATATATATATATATATACATTATATTATTTGGGTAAATTCTGCCATTCCTGGTTATGTGAGGATCTCCCATGTATGGATAGTCCTGAAGTCCTGAAGCAGTGGGAGGTGCCAGTGTGTGCTTCATAAAAAAGAACCCAAAACTTGTGGAGTTCTACATTGTGATATTCTTACAGTCACCCACTGGGACCTAGGTAAGGCCCATACCCATGGTACATGAATGAATTGGTTATCATGTATAATACATTTATAATACTTTGGTATTATAAAAACCTGCCCATAAACAATGCTAGAAAAAAATCCAGGTTAGTTTAAAGCCCAAAGAAAGGGTAATAAGGACATATATCAAAAATAAGGTATAAATGGAAAGAATACTGTTTTCTTAAAGCAACAGATTAGTCTTTTCTGAGCACAATCCTCCTAAACTATTGCAGTTGGAGATGCATAAATGACCAGAATTTTGGATCTGTTGCCTCTGTTTAAGTTTATGTGCAGAAAATAAGCTCATTTTCCTGTTGTTATCTTATCTATTAGAAAATATACCAATTTGGGTAAGTCCACAAAAGATTTAAGTTACATTAAACATCTGGTCATAAATTCCTTGGTTTATCCCCTTTACTCTCTATCGATTTCCCCTGGAGTCTTTATCCCTAATAGCATTGCCTGACCACAAAACGAAAGAAATAAGCTAAAATTGCCACTTTCTTTTACTCATTTTTCTAAACTGTATTTTTAATACGTTCTACTCTGACTGGCATGAAACTTGAGCTATGGGAGGTTTCTGCATACAGGAAGAAATGAGTGGAGAGCACTATTTCCTGGGTCAAACAAATAATTTTCTTTAAACAAACAGTCCTTGTAAGGTACCATTTGTAAGATTGTAGGACTACAGAATGAGAAGTGTCTTCATATGTTCCTTAAAAGAGTCAACAAATGCAAGACTTTTCAACACGTAGATATAGGAAGCCATCAACTTGAATCAGAGATTCTCTAATATCATAGTTATATAATATCAATAATATATGTAATAAAATCATAGACTAAAAGGGACTGCCTAATTTCTTTTAACTGAATTATATTTTTTGTAATCAATTATTGAACATTTCTCATCATTTCTTGTTACACTATCTTATTAGAAACAAAGGTTTTTACAAAATTGTCATTCTTCTTCCTAGTTCATTTTGTACTCCTTAAATTTATATCAACTCACCATAACAAAAGATAACTAACTACTTACCACAATGCCACTCTGCATAATTTATAAATACAACCTCTATACCTAGAACCAGTCAGTGGAATAGACAGGACTTCAACTAACTTCAAAGAGAGATGGTTGGTGAGGCTTCCCACTTGCACTTCAGATAATGCAACTGCTTAGCTTTGTTTAACCTATTTCTTATATAAATCTGTTTGACATTAGACTTTAGATCAACAAATCAATCTTAAGAGAGGGGCATATATCTCGTGTAATTCCCCAGACTGGTATTCAATATGCCTTTCTACAAAGATGCACATGTGATTTTTTTTAAATAACCATAAAAATAATGGAACACAAAAACTAAACAAACCAAGAAATAGAAAAAATATATACAAATGAAGCAAATTTTCTCTAAATAATTCTTATATTCAAATTCATACAATGATTTTATGGTATAATCCCTTCACAGGGTTCAAAATAAAGCTTTCTCTACTCTATTTCTTTTCCACTGTATTTCCACCCATAACATTCAAGGTTTATTTAAGAAAAAAATGTCTTTTTTGCAAGTGAATATATTTCACCTTGACTGTTTTCCCTGACTGTTTGACCACTTGCCCCTGGGGATGGCATGAGAGCACGTGCCATGCCCACTGCGTTTAATTTAGCAATTATTTTTTACATATAGTTGGCTCCACAAGTACCAAGTCACCAAGAAGCCAAATACGAGAACTACCTGTCTCACCAGTTTACCCTTTTCCTTGATTTCAATATTTTCTAGTATTTTATACTGCTGTTAGTAATGTTAATAACAATATAGTAATTATAATATTTATAATGAAAATGTGTCAATATTGATGGCCATTTCAAGGAAAAGTGAGGTCACAAGATCTACTAACTGACTCCTTTGTGGATAAGCACTGGCACAGCTATCTATCTATCTGAAACATTTAGCAAAACAATACTAAAGTGAACCCAACA